AGCTGGGTGGAGGGAGTCCCCCGGAGCCCGTGGGCCCGCGGCCGCACAGTGACAACAAGGACTCCGGCCTCAGCAGCCTGGAGTCTACCAAGGCGCGGGCCCCATCGTCCGCCGCCTCGCTGCCTCCCGCGTCCGGGGACCCGGGAGCCCTACAGAACCAGCCCCTGCGACGCTCCGTCGCCTCCCGCCTCCATCAGTGTCTGTGATCGCCGGCCTTGGAGTCCCCCCAGCCGGCAGCCCCTCTTCCGTTGCCCCTGGGTGCTTGGGTGGGGCTAGGAGGGCGCGGTCGCGGCTCTGGACTGCGCTGGATGAGAGGGGAGTGAATCGGCTGCTGGGGTCTGTGTCTCCAGGGGATGGGGCCGAGTGTGCCCTCCTAGGCCTTTCTGAAGCCGCACTTAGGGATCCCTGTTGACCATGGGGTGTGGGTAGGGAACCCCCAAATTTCAGACTAAAGGAAAGAGACTGAGCGATGCTGGCTTTTTGCTTCTTTCCTTTGCCCCTCCCCCATTCAGCAACCTAGCTGAGGGGGCACTGGAAGGATATGGGGAGAAGGAGGTGTAGGGCAGTGGTGTCCACGGGGGTTGGGGGGCTCGTGTGTGCGAGTGTGTGTCGTCACTGTCCAAAGGTGTTCCCAGTAGCAACTTCTGCCACCCCCTCTCCTACACACCCCACTCCCAGGGCACCCTTTGGTGCACACAGAGATCCTGCCTCCTGCTGCTTGTGTGTGTGTGGGGGGCGCTCCACCCAAAAACAAACCCTCAATGGGTCACCCCCTCATTCTTTTACCAACCTCTAAGCCACTCCCTCAAGCGCTTTGACCATGGTAAGCTTCCTGTTCCCGTTTGGGGAGGGTCCAGGCTGGTACCTTCCTCACCCCCTTTTTGTTCTTCCAGCTGTGCTGCTCCTTCCACAGTTGAGGCACACAGAGCCGCACCTTCTTCCTCTTAGGAGGGGGCCGTAGTCAAAACACTCCTGGTGTCTCTGTCTCTCCCACACACTGATTTATGGGGTCTGAGCTATGCTGTCCCTGCAGGATGGGCAGGTGGCAGCCTTCTCTCCCCAGGATGTAAATAGACCACATCTCCAGGAGCACCCCCAAGCCCCCTCATTCCAGGGAAGCCAGGTGCAGTTGTGAGCTCCCCTGCCACGGCTGTCAGTCCCCTCGTTTTATGCAAAGATTTGCTGTAAAGTAGATTTCTCTCCTCCCTGCCCCATCCTTCTACTGTAAATATTGTCTCTAAATGTGTAACATATTATAAAGAATTTATAAGGATTTTTAAAGATGTTTTGCTCATTTAAAAAGTGTTGTAACAGTGTTGGATACAGCCTCCCTGCCCACCCCACATCCGCATGGCTCCTTTCACTGTGTCCTTGACACACCTCTCTAGGCAACAACTAAGATTTCCTGCTCCTGAAAAGTCCTGTCTTAAAAGTACCGTCTATATCTTGGAAATAAATGGCCTTCTTCAAGGCACAAGTCGGCTGTCTCACTTGTTTTGGAGGGAGGAGTGGGGCTGGGCTGGGCCAGGTGGAGGCAAACCTCTTCCCCCTGGGAGCTGGGAGGTTGGTACGTGCAATGATACAGGCACAGATGCATGTTGGAAGGGCTGGTGACCAAGCCCCTTGTCACATGAGGTGTCTGGGCACCTGCTCTCTATTCCTGCAGAGCCCAGGAATGTGTTTAGGCATTTTCCTTCTTGGGCCTTCCTGGACCTTCAGAATGGTTCCAGGAGTACAGCCAAGCAAGGAGGTCTGGACCACCTGTCATCTAAGGCACTCCAGGCCAATAATATTGTAAAAGGAGTACGGATTTTACCCATTCTTTTCTCTCTCTCCTCTCTCTCTCTCTCTGAGAGGTTTTCATCTTAGGGTGCATGCACTCAGCAAAGAGAGCTCTCTCTCAAAGATAGCCACAATTCCTTCTCCATTACATTCTCTCCAGATCTTGGGAACACATACCCCCCCACACACACACACACACACCCCCAGTGTGATTTTCAAGCCACCTGGTCCAGGGCCCAAACTGTGATCAGCATGTGAGTCCAGTGATGTAACCATGATGCCATCTGCTGGTCCCGTTCTTACTTGCACGCGCAAGCTTACACCACTGTGGGCTTCCTTCTGTGCTGTGGTTCTGCAGTTGCTCCTGCCAGCTCCCAGGCTGCCTCTGGTGAGCCTGGTATCCGTCTACAGCAAGGGCAGGTGACATTCAGCAAAGAATCTGGGGAGGAGCCCTGGAGCCCGGAAGACCTACTCAGTTACTTGCTGAAACCCCTCTGCCCACTCTCCAGGTAGTTTCTGGTAAATGAGCTAAGGGCGAGTGTGTGCACTCGGCACCATACCCCCGTTATCTCCATGTTCTATATGAGGAAACTGAGGCACAAAGCGGTGACCTAACTTGCCCAAGGTCACCCAGCTTGTAAGTGGTAGAACTAAGTCCAGAGAAAAGACATGGGGATAGGTTACATAACTACCGTTTCTTAACAGGCTTTGGAGGATGATCAAAGCCCTGAGCTCTCCTGCAAGAATATAAGAGAAATGAAAACAGAGCATTCATTAGAAGACTTACTATATAAGAAATACTAGATGGCTGGCAAATGGTGTGATAGTTGAGACTCTAGACTCTCACATGGCTGATTGCAGTTCAAGTCCCGGATCCAGCGGCTTGCTTTCTCACTTTCGCTCTGTCTCTAACTGTTCAAATTAAAAATAATAATAAAGTAAAATAATGAATTTAAAAACACTAGATAGGACCAGCAGATGGTATAGTGGTTATATCGCCAGACTTCCACATGGCTGACCATGGTTCGAGTCCCAGACCCGGTGGCTTCAAAGTCAAGCCAGGTGCGTGTGCATGTGTGCCCAAGATCCCAAGAGGAGAATGGAGGAGAAGGGATTGCGGTGTGGCCATCCCCCTGGGAAGTGATTTCTCGCTTTCTGTTTCTCTGTCTCTCCAGCGAGCACATGCACCCCATAGCAAAAAACTCTCTTAAAAAATAAAAAGAAAGAAAGAAATACTAGAGAACCTTCAGACTGAAATAAAAGTACACAAGATGGATGGGGCCAGCAGGTGGCGTGGTGGTTAAGGTGCTGGACTCCCAACATGGCCAACGGATGTTCTGGTCCTGAACCTGGTGGCTTGAAAACCGTACAGGCACGTGTGCATGTGTGCCCCAAATCCTGAGAGGACGGTGTAAGAGAATGGATTGTGATGTGACCATCTCCTCTGGGGAGTGATTTCTCACTTTCCCTTTCTCTGTCTCTCTCCAGCAAGCACACACACTCTCTGACAAAAAATAAAATAAAATAAAAATAATAAAGGGCGGGGGGGGGCAGTCAGCAGGTGGCATGGTGGTTAAGGTGCTGGGCTCCTGCATGACTGACCACGGCCTGACTCCTGACCTGGCAGCTTGCTTTCTCACTTCCTCTCTCTTGATCTCTCTGGTGAGCACATGTGTCCTGTAGCAAATTTTAAAAAATAATGATAATAAATAAAGTTAAACTTTTTTTTTTTTAAAGGACAACTGCATAAGGGCCAGCGGGTGTCATGTAGGTTAAGACAGCTAGATGGCCACACAGCTGGCTGTGTGATTCGAGTCCTGGACCCAGTGACTTAAAAAATCACAGCCAGTGTATGTGCGTACGTGCTCAGAATCCTGAGAAGGAGGGAGGAGAAGGGATTGCTGCATAGTCATCCCCCTGGGAGGTGATGTCTCACTTCCTCTCTCAATCTCTTCATCTCTGTCTCTCCATGGTGAGCCATATACAAAACTAAAAATAAATAAATAAAAAGGCAACCAAATTAAGCAATAATTACAAAATTTTGTTGACATATGAAGGTGTGTTTTGTGTGACAGTAATAGCATAAAGGAGTGGGAAGGAAATGGAACTACAGGGAGTGAATTTTTTTTAAGAGTTTTTTGCTATAGGGCACGTACGTTCACCAGAAAGACAGAGAGAGACAGAGAGACAGAAAGCAAGAAATCATCCTCCAGGGGGATGGCCTACCTCAATCCCTTCTTCTCCATTCTCCTCTTGGGATCTTGGGCACACACACACATGCGCCCGGCGTGAGTTTAAGCCTCCAGGTCCAGGACTCGAACTGCAGTCCACTACATGGGAGTCCAGCGACACAGCCATTATGCCATGGGAGTGAACTTTTATACACTATTAAAATTAAGTTGGTTTTAATCTGAACTAAACTATTTAATTAAGATGATAATTAAGAGCAACCACTAAGAAAATACTTTTTTTTAAATATTGCAAATGAAACAGAAGGGGAATCAGAAATATACATTAGAAAATATCTAAGCCAGGGCCCAGCAGGTGGCATGGTGGTTATAGGCACTGGATTCCCACATGGCCAACTACGGTTCAAGTCCTGAACCTGATGGCTTGCTTTCTCACTTTCTCTCCCTCTCTCTCTGTCTGATCAAACTGGGAAATAATAATAATATAATAAGTAAAGTTAAATAAAATAATTTTTTAAAAAAGAAAACATCTAAACCAAAGAAGGCGCAGGACTGAAGAAGTGGAGGGACAAAAAGACCTAAGACCTATGAAAAACAGCAAGATGACAGACATAAATTTACCTTGTCAGTAATTACACTGAATGTAAATGGATTCAACATCCCAATGAAAAGGAGAGATTGGCAGTATTGATTTTTTAAAAAGAATTATTTATTTAATTTTATTTGCTATTATTATTATTATTATTATGGAAAGATTTTTGCTATAGGGCACGTGTGCTCTCCAGAAAGACAGAGAGAGACAGAGAGATAGAAAGCGAGAAATCACACACCCCCCGGGGGGGATGGCCACACCACAGTCCCTTCTCCTCCATTCTCCTCTCGGGATCTTGGGCACACACGCGCCTGGCATGAGTTTAAGTCATCAGGTCTGAGATTCGAACCATGGTCGACTACATGGGAGTCCAGCGACATAGCCATTACGCCAGCTGCTGGTCCCTCGATAACCCAATAGCTCTAACGGCTCCCTAAAGGAGACCCCATGCTGCAACAGCAGAAAACACTGCTTCTCAAGTGCATATGGAAACCCCAGGACAGACCACTCGCTAGGCCGTAAAACAAGCTCAGTGGCCTGTTTACTTGCTACTCTTTGCTTGCCCCACCTCTCACCCTGAGTCTTGTGACTGTGCCCCACTGTCATCGTCCTGAGTTGAACAACCCTTTGTGGAGGGAGCAGA